GTTGCGTGTGGTGTGTGGGAGAGTGTTCGCCTTAGACACTGCTGTTATTCGGTTGGGGGTGGGGGATGATGAAAAGGGAGGCACAGCTACTGGCAAATGCTCGGTCCTTGTGTTAGCCGGCCCCCCACCGGCGGCCCCAACCCTGCACCCTAAAACGCTAGGGCAAGGGACAAACATGCCCTTACCCCTCTCCAACGTTGCGTGTGGTGTGTGGGAGAGTGTTCGCCTTAGACACTGCTGTTATTCGGTTGGGGGTGGGGGATGATGAAAACGGAGGTGCAGCTACTGGCAAATGCTCGGTCCTTGTGTTTGCCGGGCACCCACCGGCGGCCCCAACCCTGCACCCTAAAACGCTAGGGCAAGGGGCAAACATGCCCTTACCCCTCTCCAATGACCGAGAGGGGTAACCTCCCTTCACAGAAGAGAGGTCGAAAGCTATGCTTGCAGGGGTCCCCTGTATAGCCTTAGGAGTAGTGGTAGGTAGTGAAAAGAAAGATATGTTCGATGACATGGCAGAACGCCAGTTAAAAGAAAGATATGTGAGGTGAGAGAAAACTATATGGCTGTCCCCCTATGAGGAGAAGGCAGCTTTAAAAAAAAAAAAAAAACTACTCAGACCTAGGACATACAACTTTCAACTACTAACACACAGGTCACGGGTTGAAGACTCAGATGGTCGACTTGATACTGCACACAGGTGAGGTAAGGTAAGGTCTGGGGATCGAGCCCGGGGATCCGCATCTGTGGCTTCAAAAAGGTGAAAACCGTTTCACTAGTATGGATGACACGCATAAATCGAGAAAAAAAAAAGAAAAAAAAAAAGAAGTCTGGGACGGTCTGAACACACTGGCCCATGATCGAGCAAGATCCAACATCCTTGCTAGATGATCGCGCCTTCGGCGGGGAACTGCACGATTGGTACCTCAGACGCGCAAGGGGGTCGCTCGACGACTCTGGACTGCAAATTCGAGAAAGGTGAACGTATTAGGCCAGACATCTCGTCTCGATTCGTTGGCCGTTTTGGCATTTGTTGAGCAGTGAAACGAGGTGCGAAACCCGTTACGTGGATTGTTGATTACGAGATGTAACGCCGACCTACGCTTCCGGGGGCCAAGTCCCACTTACCCGAATGATCGATTTCTGACCGCAGATTCGGAAGATCAACGACCAGAAATCAAGGATCAGCGTAAGTGGGACTTGGGCCCGGTTGTCCCTTCCGGACTCGGCAAGGCCGTCTTCCTCGCCCTTCCAAGATTCATAGAATGTATGTAGTCATGTTTACAGGGCTTTGGTACATCTGTACGATGGCGATGGCTATGGTGATGGTGACGGCGCGGGGTTCTTCTTCTTAAAGTACGTCATTCCTTGTCGCGTTGTCGAAACTCGATTGGGATCGGGACGGAGAGGAAGAGCATCCTCTTTTTCTGCACCATTTCTCCGATTTATGCGTGTCATCCATCCTTGCCAATGGGGGGCCATGCTAATGGCCCCTCCTCTCTCTCTCTCTCTCTCTCTCTCTCTCTCTCTCTCTCTCTCTCTCTCTCTCTCTCTAGCGTTGCTATCTTTTGAAAGGATGTCCCGGTGGTGACTAAGTGCATCCTACTT